TGGAAAAATACAGAAAGGGATAAATAAAGAATGATTGGGCACTTTCCTGTTAAGCATAAGCTGCGGCGAAAATGGCGTCGTACCGGCGTGCCTCAAACAGGACAAAGGGTCGAAAATCCTTATTGTTCCGTCTTTTTTTCACTTTAACGTTTATTGTTATTGAGTCTATTGTAATCACTTCGGGGTCACCAATGTTAAAATGTATAATTTACCCTTTTTTTCCAATTATTCCCTTTTGAGACCGCGGCCGCGGTTTCTCACACACACACACACACGAAGAAGGAAGAGCGACGCGTCGACGCGTCGACGCGTCGCGAATATGGCGGGCAGTGTTGCCAACCTCCGGCGACATCAATAATGAGCCGCAACATAAATAATATCTTTTTTAACAGTACATCATCACCATAGTATTATCTTGAGGTTCTGAAATATATAAAATAGGACTATTAACTTACTTCTAACACTTACCATGACCAATATTTTTATTTCTTTGATATAAATAAAAAGTAGTATAAAATACGGTATTTTATACTACTTATTATATAAATAATGCATTGACTTCTTGCAATATAGGTTAGTATTAATTGTATCACTAATACTTATTTTACTTACATAAACACTTGTTTCTGGCAAAATAACTTGTCACCAACAAATAATATATCTTCGGTAAGTTCCTTTGATGAATCCAGTTTCCAATATGCTAAATCTTTTATCGTTGACACGAAGTTAAATTTTAAAGGGAAGATTACACTTTTAACGTATTATATTTATAAATATAACTTAATCTGTTATGATTATATAGTTTATTTTAGATTTAAAGTTTTGACATATACTTTTATCTGTTGGATGTATTTATCGAATGTGACCAGAAAGCCAATTAAATTAGCTACTCTAATAAGTTTTGCTATTTTTTAGTTAAACCGATTCGAATGTTATCGACTTCAAAACTAAAATATTTTTTACAGAAAAAGAAAACTCTCAAGCAATATTTCAACAACAACTTGAAAAAGTGTACCGTTTAGTCCATTGGCTTTATTTTTAATTAGGAGAAAAGTAAAATCGATTCAAAAATTATCAAACTCATTTTTTTTTTTTTTATCAAAAAAGTAAGAACTCTCAAACGATATTTTTTTTTCTGCATAATTCTCAGAAGGTTCTCTTACGACCGAAAAAATGTGTACTGTTGTAGTCAATTTCTTTCATTTTTAATTAGGAGAAATGTAAAATCGATTCGAAAATTATCGACTTCAAAATTTAAATACTTTTTTTTTACAAAAAAGTAAGAATACTTAAACGATATTTTTCTTCTTTGAAGCATTCTCAGACGATTCTCTAGCGACCGAAAAAATGTGTACCGTTGGAGTCAATTTCTTTCATATTCAATTAGGAGAAAAGTAAATTTGATTCTAAAGTTTTCGACTTGAAAATTCAAAAAATTTAAAAGTTCAAAACTTACCTTCGCCCTTTTCAGCAACCTTACTGGATGAATTTTGTAAAATCCTTAGTAGTATTTACCTAGTAATACTATATGTACGTAATTACAGAAAGATCTTTACAAGGTTCAATATTTAAAATAATCTACCTTATTTATACAAAATATAGCGATATTAAAGCGTTTGCGGGTTAGGTGATTTATACTATTCTATGTTAATACTTTTAGTTTGTCTATATCTATACGAATATTATAAAGAGGAAAAATTTTGTATTGTTTGCGCGCGCCTACTTCTTCCCCCCGAAAAACGCAAATTGTTCCTATAACTGCGCCTTAAATCATGACTCTTCCTATTTTATAAATATTAAATAATATAAGTTACAACAGAATGTGAAATACATTTTTTGTTTCTCCTCTCCACACCTGTTTTGGCATTATAATCTTTAACCATTTTTATTATTGAGAGACTGACACTAAATATTTTTAAAAATTGTTAAAAATATTTAACCTAAAATTTAAAAAAAGAATCAAAATAGTATTAACACTTTTTCCTATCGTGGTTTGCGAAACGTAGCTACAACGGATTAAATAGCTAGCTTTCGCCCACCACTTTGTCCGCGTGGTAGTAAAAATTAAGTAGACTATGTATTCTTCCAGACTATGGTCTACATCTATGACAAATTTCAACAAGATCTATTCAGCCATTTAAGCCGCAAACTCTAACAAACATCTATCCATTTATTTACCTTAACTTTCGAATTTACAATTTGTATGATTAGTAAGATTATTGCAACATTAGTTATAAGTAAAAATTAAAATGAATGGCTGAAATGGCAAAAAATTTGATCGAACATTTTATATTTACCTGTAATATCTGTCACGAAATCATTTTTAAAGTTATTTCCCTTCGTCTTTGTATATTCCCTCAACATTTGAATCACTGTATCCATACGCATAACCTAAAAAAAATTGGTAAATTTGAAATTTTCCACAAAAAAGGCTATTATAAACAAGTACTAATTTAAATACCTTATGCGTGAGTTCTGTAACCATCAAAATCTTGTCTTCATACTGGTTGATAGTTGTTTTATAACCAGGCCAAATCTGCAGATTATACTCCGGAATGTCAATCTAAAACAAAATTATCCATTTGTCCTTTTTAACAGATCAAAAATAATCACAAGCTTAGATAAAAAGTCTGTAAAAAGGACATGTACGTTAGTAAAAGTAGAACAAAAGATAAAAAATTAAGGACACAGTTGTAAATTAAATAGCTTTTTTCCTCTTCCCCTTCCTGCGCGTCTCTTCCACTGTCAAATCCATTTTTTCTTCCCATCCTTTCCTCCCGAGGCAGGGGTCGAAAGGAAAAGGGACTAAAATCAGGCCTATGGTACAACACTCATCAGAGTTAACGCAGAATTGCACCAACTTCATGCCTTACCTTAGCTTCAGGATTAAAGAAGTCTCTGCCAACAAGATTCAACTGCAGTAAGTGGAAGCATTTGCGGATGATAATGTTGAAAACTTGTAGATAGTGGTAATCACCCGGGCTCACTGCAGTTGTTAGCTGTTGGCGAAAAATATACACTCATATATCAGATTATACAAAAACATTTGTTTTCTTGTTATGGTTGTGTTACTGTAATTAACTTAAATTGGTATTATATATTAAAAATGTAATTGTAGTGTTAAATTAGGTAATAACTTATCTTAAAAATAAGTATTATTTTATACGAGCTTTTGCCCAGTACTCCGTTCACATGGAATTTAAATAAATACAAAAGTAAATAGCACGTGTGTTCTAGACTATCTTCTACATCTAAGCCAAATTTCATTATGATCTATTAAGCAGTTTAGGCTACAAACTCTAACTAATATCCATACATTCATCCAAACTTTCGCATTTATAATATTAGTAAGATGGTATGTCAAAGTGAAAATGTGCTTTAGAAATTTGCTAAGTAAATGTTGGTGTGATTAGGCATTATACATTTCTAGCATCAATATGTGCAATGGAATATCTATAATCTGTAAGAAAGATTCTATACATATACAATAGTATCATGACTAAATCGATTTTGGTATTTAGTTACATTTAGTAGTACCAACCTGTTAGGCATCTTGCAACTAACAAAATTAAGGCAAATACCATAAAATTTAAAAATAGAAATTTCTGTGTATGTGTGGCTTGTAATGACTTTCAAAATTCACTGTCATTTAAATCCAAAGTAAAAAGCAATCATACCTTTATCATTATTCTCATCTTTTCTCCATCAGTTCTGCGATTGGAACATAGCTCTAATGGCTCGGGATGAAGTCTTTTAATAGTGTAAAGAACAGTTCCATCAAATAGATATCTATAACAATGTAAAAATTAAAAAATTGAGCAAAGATAACAAGCTTCATCAACTAGTCAGCTATCAGCAGAAGCTATATAATAAAACAGATATCATCATGATGCATTTAATTTATAGCCTGTTTATCAGTGTCCAATAGACTTATGTAAATCAATCCTAAACCGGTTAAAGTCCTGGTAGCTAAAATCAACCTTAAGAGGTGCAGCTCAATAACTTATGTATCATGTACAATAACTATGTAAGCCAAAGAGTTGAGAGCTTTCAATAAATTGTTGTTCATAGCACTAAATGTAAACCAGAACTCCAAGCAGGTACTGATTTTTTTTTTCTTACAAGGGACTTTGCCACTAAGTAACAATAATGCCCCATAACTCTAAAACTAACAAAACACAATTATCTAACTTCTTTCTTAAACAAATGTCAGCCAACTCTAACATCAGCCTGGTCTTGTCTAGACAGTTAAGCCAGGATAGTGTTAAAGTGACCAAGATACTAATTTACCGGAGCTGTGTGTCCACTAATCAACTTCACACATATGAATGAATATGAATCTGCAGATTAATTTTAGTTTAGTTACCCATGTATATCGCTGGACAAATAAAAAATATAAAGATGAAAATTACTAACAGAATACTTTGTTTTACTGCTTATTGGAAAATTGTGATACACTTTAACAAATAAGCTTCACATAGCTTGTTCCGTTTCATATTATGCATATGACAAAATTTTATATTTCTTGGCAGTACAAAGTGCATATGATTATTACTGATATCTATATGGATTTTATAACTGTAATAATGCACCTATCAAATAAATTAGATATAAACATACCCGCCGAGGGTCTTACTGTGAATTTTCAATAGACCTATACGAACAGCGGTGTTGTCCTCCTCCGGAGTAATATCCACATGGTATTGATACAGACTCCATTGCGGTGTGGTTTCAACAGCAAAATAATTAACCAGCAAGTCAAGAGGATAACCATAGCTTCCTACAAAAATTATAACATTTTATTTAAAAGTTCTTTTAGAATTTTTAATGGTGAAAATGGAAAATTGAGGAACTAGACTTATTTTACTTTATTTAAATATATAAATTTGACTTATGAAGCAGTTTATATAGAAAGAAAATAATGATGAAAGAGAACTTTACTTTGCATTCTAGTAAATCCAAAATCTAGTAAGTTTGTATTGAAAAATACAAACAGAATATACAACAAGAAAATTTTTGTCTATGAAGTATATTTTGTAAACTTGTACTTTTATGTCAAGGACCTAACTTACCTTTTTTAGATGTAACATAAGTAGGTTTTGTATGGAGCGCAGTAGTTTGCTCTGACAAAATGCGACCGCCGCCGCGTCGGGACCCGCGACCGCCGCCGCGTCGGGACCCGCGACCGCCTGCTGATGGGCCAGCATCACCGCCAATCGAAGGTGCCTGACCTTTAAATAAAAATTGTATTAGACAATGAAAGAAAAAATAATTGCTCATGTGTTAATGTTAACTTGCCTATATTTATCTTTTGCAGACGCTGTTGTACATCAACGTCGGCTGGATGTTCATGGGTAGTTGGGTTACTTCTATGAGACGCGCGACTAACGGAAGCCGATGGTACGGGAACGCCAGCCCTAACAGGGGGAGCTACTGTCGGCGGGCCCCAAGCAGATGGTGGTTGAGGGCGAGGCCCTGGAGATGCTGGCTGCTGTTGCGGCGGGTCTCGTTGTTGTTCACCAGGACGCCGCGGCTGCTGGGTGGCACCATCGCCACCTCTCCTTGCCCGAGCTCGCGCTCGACCTCTTCCGCGTTGCTCAGACATACTAAAGAAAACAATAGCATGAAATTGATATAAAATTAAAGTTCATAAAGCCCTCGTGTCTAGCATTTGAAATATTAGAAGTTCATTAATAAGTTGTTTTGAAACTGGCCGATTGAGCAAAACAAAACAAAAATGGCGACAATTTTTATTCGTTAAATCGTGAAGTGATAAAAGTTTATAAAACGTCTTGGTAACATTAAGGTAAATCAAAATGTTTAATTAAGCATTCGTTAAGTAATTTTAAAATGAAAGTTAAAATAGGTATTTTGTGAGACGGTATAAAGAAAACTTTAGCAATTTTGGCACAGTATTTATAAATGTAAATATGTACACAATGTATAAAGCTCTGTATTAATTGTGAACCTTAATAATTAGTAAGATATCCTGAATTTTGTAAGCCAAAATATTATTTCAAGTGAAAAGAAATCCGATACAATAAAGGCGTTTGTTCAACGCAAGATGGCCGAACGAATCCCTACTCCCTAAAACTCTACTCTATAACTGTGTTGCCAACCCCAAAAAGGTAAAAAACAACAACTCG